AAATCACACAATGGGGTGAGTGTCCGTCTTCACCTAGCTCCTGCCCATCTAGGAGCTTGAAAGCATGCAGATGCGAGTAGATAAATAGGCACCACTTCAACAGGAGGAAATAGTGCTCCATGACGTCTTGCTGGCCACATGACCACGGAAACATCTTTGGAGAACGCTGGATTAATGGCCTTGAAATGGAGATGAGTGGCGCCCCCTATAGTCAGCAATGATTAGTGGAGTAAATCCACAGGGACCCCTTTCCTTTCTTGTTCCTTGAAAAGCAAATTAGATCTGTGTGAATTTGCCCATTTTGGCTTCTCCCAGCCTTTTTTCCAATCTTCATTTTATACTGTCTCTATGCCAGTTGTGATTTTCTTTAAAAAGTATGAAGGAAAATTCGTATGCATTTATATATAGGCTTTTGGTAATATACACCTTTTTGAATGCAGTTTTCCTAACATACGTACCTTTCCAAATAACTTTCTCTCTTTAAATTCATTTCTGTAAGTGGTTTTCATAATATATGCACTGTGCATATGTTACTCCTCATGTATGCAATTATGTACTGTTTTTGATAGAACTATATCACATAATTTGAAAAAAAAAAGAATATTATATGGAGCCATAAATAGGTGCTGAGCAACGTTCAGAATATGGAAATGATGTAGGACAATAAATCGAAGACATTTGTCCTTCATTTCTAAGGGAGATTTTCTTGCCTGCTTAGCATCATAACAATGGAGACATGAATAAAGTAGCTACACCTTTATTAATATTTACCAATTGTGAGCTTCAGTAACATCATAGAGGAAGGGAGTTGTCATGTACCTGCCTTGCACATTTCCTATTTCCCAAAAAGCGGTAGGGCAGGAAAAAGTTTCTCCATCCTTGTAGTTGCAGTCACAGTAATGGTGCATTTGTCTGTTATCCTTCTCTGAATGTCCAAAGAACCCAGCAAGGGCAAAAATGACTGCACAGAGGAACAGCTGGCTTTCTAATCATTGCTGCTGATGATATAGGCTTTGCTTGTGGGAACATGACATTGATGCTGGGAAACAGCTTTGCTTCTGTGGGTGTTAAATGACTGCCCGGTTGCCTACAGAGAGATGACAGACAGTGATGAAAATTTGATGGCAGTTGCAATGGAATGCTCCTATGACTAAATGTTTAATAGGGGTTGGGAAAGGAGGAACAATGGTGCTTTTTCTGTTCCCCAGGACTTTGCCCCCATGGAGATGCTTCATTCATAACCTCCCCGGAATCTCTGCCTGAATCTCTAATAGTTGGAAAAAAAGAATACGAACATGCTGATGAAACTCAGCCATCCAGTAGAAAATACCGCTGCTACTATTTATTGTGCTTCTTCAGCCATTCTTTGACCCTGCAAGGAACAAGTATTTCATGAGCATTTTCCTGTGGTAATAATAAGTGAAGCATATTCTTAAGTTCCAAAAACCAAAACTTGACCTACCTTTATTTGGAGTTTGTGCTCAAAGGATATCCTTTCGTGCATAGGACAGATTTATTTTAATGTCCTTTGTCTGGGGCATACATCTGCAATCTGTTAAATAATAGGAGACTGTGAAATCAATATAATTCCCCCATAATTCCAGGGAAGGGAAGTTCTGTAACTGTGAGATTATGAGCACTCTCCATTACTCCCTGTGTTTGCCAGGAAACCTTGTTGGAAGTAATTCCAATTTATATTTTGAGGGATGCTCACTTTCCTTTCAGATAGATCTCTTCCTTGCTTACCTAGATGAGATGTCTTTGTGTTTGCAGACTCAATTAAACAATAGTGTTAAGATTTATCGAGCATGTGAGCTCAAAGTATCTCTAAAGTCTATGGGAAAATGGTGCTCTTTTCCAATCTACTGTACATACATTTTATAATGACCACTTGATTATTAAAATATATTCCCTCTATGTTAATTTCTATTATTGTGCATTCTATGTTCTATATGTTGAGTGCTTCATCACTGAATATACAATCATCAAATCCACACTTGTTGGGACAGTGTAATATAGCCCACATTCAGCCTCTTCAAAGTGAGATCTTCTCCCATAACCTGAATTTATATACTCCTGGTGGTGAGCTTTGTTCATCTGGAGCAAATCAAGTAACCTTTGAGTCACATTCAGCTCCTGGTGACTTAATGGATACATTCATGGAGTTTTCTTGAAAACAATATAAAAATAATTTGCTGGATTATTGGAAGAATCCTAAAATGCAAGGAAAAATTATTTTCAGGATTTTGGTTATACTTAGGATTGGAGTTTTCATTAACCCATGCCAACTCTTACTTGTGCCTATTTTTCTATCCATATAATGTAAAAGATTCATGATAGGTTAATTCTAACTCTACAATGCATTAATTTCTTTCCTCTTCTAATATTTCATAATTCCATTTTGCTTTTCCTGCTTGTACTTTCAGTATTCCACCATTGGAAAAGTATGTGGCACTGACAAGTTCTACTGATGCAAAATTTCCACTAATTTTCCGCTTGTCTTAGTGTCTTTACTGGAGACACTGACAGATGTTCAAGATGTTTCTTCAGAGTGTTCCAAGAAAGTTCTGTTTATCTAAATGGGTTATTGTAATAAGTAGGGAAAGGTACATATACTATATATACTTGCAGATAAACCCATCTGCTGGTAAGCTGACCCTCATTTTTAACCCAAGTACCATGAAAAAGGCCTCGCCCACTGATAAACCAAGCTCAACATTTTCATATGTTTTAATTTTCACAATTGACTTATCTGCGGGTAGTGTATTTTTTTAAATGATATTTTGGATAAAAATTCAAGGGTCTGTTTATCACTTTAAAATCTGAAGAAAAGACTACTATATAGATTTGTGCTTCCACAGAGAGTTAAACCGAATTTTGGGAGGGAGGGTGCACTTTGGCACCTAAAATTCTTGGTTTATCCACCAGTATACAGGGTAACTTTTTCTGATTCCCATGGAATGAACAATTTCAACAACGAAACATATTTCCCAGTTAGGTTGGGTCAATCCAGAGATTGATTAATCTTTCAGTTTTGGCTTCTGACAGCTTCTTATTTTTCCAGGCTTCATTGGTTTCTTCCATTTCCACACCAGTTTGAAACATTAAGACATAATTTGTGTGAAAATTCATACTTTTTTTCTGCTCACTGTTTGTAATATTCAGATTTCTGTACTATATGTGTTATATCCATTTAAGACAATGCATTTTGTATATTTTCATTAATCAATGAAGGTCTGATTTTGAGAACTGCTTTGCAAAATTTGGAGAATGATGAATCTGGAAATATAATGGAGGCTTGAGTATAGGTCCAAAAGGGTGGCATTTACAGTAGTACAGTAGATTTGAGTTGCAAGGTCAATCAGCTGAATTTTTCCCTATCTGAGACTCCAGCCAATATTTTTCTTTAGTTAAAATACCCTCTAATCTGATTCTTTAAATGTAGCCATTTGGGAATGCCTTTAATATATTTCTGAAATGGCATGTGGAGAAGAACTTGTAGATGATATTTGCTCAAACTATCTTTAGATAAAGTCTATTATAGTTTTGACCTATTACTGTTTTTATTCCCCTTTTGTGCATCTGTTCCACTGATGCACATATACTGTTTAATTGGACCACTTGGTTCCACATATTTGTTCAATAAGCCTTGATTTTGTGGCCAGAAATGGTATAGAAAATGTCAAACATGGTTTTTTAAAATAGATACATTCACAGCATGTAAATATGTAATACTGAAATTTGTGTAATGCATTTTAACCCAGAATAATGTTAAAAGATGACTGTACTATAAAATAGCCCATTCTAATTCAACAAACTGACTACTGTACAAGGCAAAAATGAAAAAAAATGCAAGCTAAGGTTAGTAGATTTGGCATGCAAAATAAAATATTTTTTAAAAAGCTCCACAAAAACTATAATGAAAATTGTCAGAAGAGTTAAAATTGAAATATATTTTCCAATTACACATAGTTTACACATTGGGTAAACTAATAAATATGTAGCAAAACATCTCTTTTGGAGGATTTTCTTTCCAGGTATGGATCATAGGTCTTATTTTGTGATCCTGAAATACCACATGAATACTTCTTTCCTCTAATTTATGAGTAGTCAGTAAATTCTAACATAAATGGGAAAAATCTGAAAGCAGATGAAGGTCTTAAGAGGAAAACCTATGAGGTGCTCTATTTTTTTCCCAACTTTCTTTTTCAAAAGCTTAGGAAAAGCAGAAGAAATTTTACTTGAATAGAGGAAGAGTCCAAGACAAAACAGCTACCAAGAAGGACAACACTGAAAGAAAATTCAGGTAACAAAATCAATCAATCAATCAATGTAACCATCTTAGTTATTTTAGTTACTAACTAAAAACTAGCAACACTTTCGTAGTAGAGTACACAAAATTGGATTGTTTTCTTGCTTCAGCATCCAAATATTCCACATGAATATATAATCAGCAAAACACCACCAACTTTTTCCTTTATCTCAGTCATTTGATTGACGACATCTTTAATATTTGTGTGAAGTTTAAGGGTGAAATCTGGGATATAGACTCATACATTTAAAAGAATGATGTCCTCTTTGTCTAACTGTAACTCAATGGGGGGGGGAGATAAAAAGGATACCCCCATCATATCTGAGTTATGACATCTTTCTTAAGAGCAAATGTACTTTGGTAATAAAAACAAGAATAGGGATCTACATTCTTTACTTATGGAAGTACTATTAATTTGTAGCTGAAATATTGACAGTCTTTCAAAGGTATCTATGCTCAACTTTCCTTTTTAGAAATTAACTCATCTGGTGGCTCTTAGTTATGCAAAAAGGGAAGAAAATGCTAACATCTTTGCACATGGCTTCAGCAAGGAATGAGACATTGCTGAAGTACAGCACCCTCTGGGCGAGCGTTCTGATAAAGTCACAATTTATGGCTAGAACACAAGAAATCACATTAATTTTACAGAATCCCTTCAGCTCGGTGGTGGCTACCTCACATCTCTCACCTGTGGCAAATGATTACATTTGCTCCTGCTGGGAATGTGACTGGGCAGACGAATGTTAAAGAGGGCCTGCAGCGCAGCCTGTGCTGCTTGACCTTTAGCCAGCTTCTTGCTACGTCCCGAGCCTTCAAATGTTCTCCCATCCACTCTCACAGCCATCACAAAACTCTTGATATGCTGCTTCTCCACAGTCTCCGAAAGGCAGACGTACCTCAGTCCTGACCGCAGCTCATTGAGCAACACCACTGGGTTCTTTTCACTCTTGGCTGTGGACGCCATCTTGTGCTTGTTTTGTTTAGGGTGGCCCATGAAGTCCAACGTGTGGTAGAATAACTTCCCTTGACGGCAGGCCTTGGAAAGCCATTCGTTATTAACCGGGCTACAGACTGAGAATTCCTTATTGTGTGCAGATGGTTCAAACTCCTTGAACAGAGTGTCTGGAAAGTCTTCCAGGTCTGACGTAAAGTCTGTAGAAGGGTTGAAACAATTTCCCATGGCAAAGTGAGCTTGAGATGCATTGGGAAACTGCACAAATGACTTGAGGGCTTGTTCGGCGGCTCTCATTTTAGCTTTCTTTTTTGTTGGACCAGTGCCTTCAAATGTATGTCCATTGACCTCCACAGCAACTGCAAATACTGGAGCGTGGACAGGACCTGTTTGGGAAGTCATTTTATATTGTAAGCCAGGTTTAAGTTCATGCAGCTGAACCAGGGCATTCTTTGGTGTTACAGACCATGAGATCTTCTTGCAGATGAGCTGAAATTTGCAGAAATGTCCACTGTTGCCCTCTTCTAGAGGCCTTTTTCTTTTGACCCTGGAAGCTGCTACTCTTGATCTTTCATTAGAAGTAACTGAATGATCTTCTAAATTGCCAATGTTACGGTTCTCCTTTACTTCAGCACTGCTTATATCTGTTTGGAAAAAGAAAGCAAAAAAAAAAAAAAAGCCCACTAACATTACTGGAACTAATGCAAAATGTACACACAAAAGTTCAAATGTATTGGTATAAATCTTGATTGAGATTATTTTTTAATCAGTTTGGCAAAACCTAGTTATATGGATAAGAATATTTTTTTCTTTCTTCAAATATGTGAATTATTGAGTGTTGTAATGAATGTTGTAAGGTTTACAACAGATAGCAGACTTTTACACACATAGCTAAATCATTACCCTATTACAAGATACAATACTGACTACTAATAAACATTGTTTTAAAGGGAGATTAAACTAATTTATAGAAAGTAAGCTTACTAATCAGTACAAGACAACTGTATACTACAACTAGGATCAAGGTCACCATGAACATATATCTGAATACCATCTCCTGGGAAAATAGCTATATCTTACTGCTGTACTTCCCACAGACATCTGGCTTGGCAATCCCATAAAACAGGATGTTGGACCAACTATACAGTCATCTGCTTTAATCTAGTAATGCTCTTATAGTCAATGTCAATGAACGATTCCAGGAGATAATGAATGCTTGGGTGGGAGCATAATTCTGCCTGCTCTGATTCAGCTGGAGATGGGCTCTCTTTTAAAGAAGCTCACCCTGATAACTTGATCATCTTTTAACGATTATAATTTACGTTTTCTTCTTAAAGTAGTAGTTGAGATGGGCAGCAGCTGCTTGGAAGAATCTAGATTATCTTGTTTCTACTAGGAAACAAGATGATCTAGATTCTTTTCAACCAATATTCAAGCCTTTCCTGGGACAGAAATGACATTAGTTGCTGAGGAAGTGTGCACCTCTTGGTCCTACTAAGCCCTTCAAAGGCATTCCATCCACTAAGCCTTTCAAAACCATTCTACCATGGTCTTATTCTGGGCCATCAGCAAAGGTTGGGGCAGAGGCTTATGATATGGTTAGAGCCAGTGTTTCTCAACCTTGACAATTTTAAGGCATGTAGACTTCAACTCCCAGAATTCTACAGCCAGCATTGCTGGCTGTGGAATTCTGGGAGTTGAAGTCCACATGCCTTAAAATTGTTAAGGTTGAGAAACACTGGGTTAGGCCTTCAGCAAGGGTTAAAGCAGGGTCAGTTCCACTTATATTCTCCAATCCTTTGCAGATGTTCCAGAGGCTGCAGATAGCACAAAAGGTGGCAATATGATTAATGTTGGGACAATCCCACCATTTCAAAATAATATCCATTTTAAAGTTGTTACACTGGTTACCAGTAGGCTTCTAGGACCCATTCAAAGTCTAAGCTGTTGTCTTTAACATTCCACCAAATTAGCATTAAGTCACATCAACTCTTGCCTTGCCATAAAAGAATCTGCCTTATCATCTGGAAATGACCCGCTGAGAATCCATCTCCATGCAAGGTAAAAGTTGGTAGGTCTTTTGTAATGTTGCCTATGGTGTAAAATGATTTTCTTCTGCAGATATGTGCAGTTCCAATTCTCTCTGCAATCTAAACCAAGTGAAAAGAGGCCTATTCCATTCAATCTTTGTTTTAGACTGATTAGGGCATCATGACAGCCAGGCATTTATAAATTATATTGTATTGTAGTTTAGTTTATGCTGCTTTACAGGAATTTTGGATTTGCTCTTCACTGCCTAGAGTCTTTCAAGATTTGTGCAGACTGGAAAAGCTTCAAACAAGCAAGCCAGCAAATTGTACAGCAACTGTTTCCCTCTGAGGCGATAGCAGATGTTTTGTACATAGTCCTTGACCTACAACTACAATTGGGACAGGAACTTTTTTTTTGCCACAGTTGTAAAGTCAATCAATGCAGTTGTTAAGCAAATCCAGTTTTCCCTATTGAATTTGCTTGTTGGAAGCCTCCTGGGAAGGTCATCAATGATGATCCACTTCTTCAATGTCCATATGAAATGAGTAAATTAGGATTGCACAACATACTTAACCCTAAATCTGGGCTAACAAAGCACAATTGCTGATTACATCCTATGCTATGTCCATAACACTATGGTTTAATGTAATAGCAGGATGCCTATAACATGCTGAGATGGGTTTCAAACAATACAGTAAGATCCCAGCCATAATATGTCCCTGGGATGGCAACTACTTTCTATATTAATTTAAAACCAATCTTCTCTCTCCATTTCCTCAAAGCAGACACAACCTGTTGTTTCCAGTCATATCTTCCTAGAAAATAATGTAGAAATGTAGAACATTTACCCACCCCCCTTCCTGTTTTGAACAGTTTTTACTGAACCAATCATTGTAGACAATGATACTGGAAGTATAAAGAGATAGGTAACCCTTGTTTCACACTGTATTCAGGTTCAAAAAGCATTTGTATTGATTCTGCACCACTGAATAGGAAAACACAAGGGGTTATTTATATTTATAATTCATATTGCCTTTCCCAATCTCTATTCCCCTCTCTTACTTTCATAATGCTAGCTGCGTGGTTTGTGAACAGAATAAATTCATCTTTAAATCTCCACATTCTTTCATGAACAGAGTAAATGATTGGTTCTGATAATTCAAAGTAAATAGCACCCTTCGAGAGCTGAGAGTTCCTAAGACCTAAACAAAATATATTTGTCCCAACCTGATGCTCCTCAAATCTTCTGGGATCCCAAAATTCTAAGCCAATTTGGCCAGACTAAAAATTCTACCTGCATGTTTCCAGTTTATACCCAACATTCTGTAGCCATGCTTTTCTCAAATTAGTTGCAGATGACAAAGTATTCTGTCAATAATAATGTCCTTTGAAACTGCTTTGAATTGTAGTCCTGACTATTTTAAGAATTGACTCAGAGTTGTAGGAATTGTAGCTCTGGCATATCAGGAAGATACAAGATTGTCTGGAGGAGGAGAAAACTGATGGAAAAAGTCTTGGGCAATGCCTAATTTAGGGAACCTGGTTGGGGGAAAATTATTTTCTTTTGCTCTTTTGCACAGCACTTTTGGGAACTTGATTTCATGACCTCCTTCAGACATGATCTATGGGATACATCTGCTTGCACTGACTACCTATTGATCCATCTGTGTATGATAGAACAGAAACATAAAGAAAACTCCATCTCTCCTTCTGGTTATGTAGCTCTATATATTATGACTACAATGGAACAATCATTTAAAGCAGTGGTTTAGAGCAATAATTTGGTCTAAGATTGAATAGTCTTAAGCTTAGCCTTTCCTTCTGATAGCCATATGCTATATCCTTTAATAAGCATCCTTTGATGCAGAAAAGAAAAAATAAAGTAAAAACAAAATGATCATTTGTAATCACTTTGTTATATGGTCAGCTAAGAAAAGATGTGGTGTGTGCTGTAAACTTTGGTGGTACCCTGTAGATCCAGTGAGTACTTTGCCACTGTCTCTATCTCTTGCTGCTTGGTTGCGGGATTTTAGACTTTAATACTAAGGAGTATTATCTATTGCACCACTAGTTTAAAATTACGCTACATCCTAGTTAATTATTCATCAGTATTTTTTATTTTTTAATTATTAAAATATTTTGAAATCAATTGAAAAGTGCAACTTCTAAATTTGCAAAATTGCATTTCTAATTTTAAATGGCAGATGGCATCATAAAAGAGTCTTGTCTTATGGATTCCAGGCAGGATCTCTCTTTGATAAATTTCCATCCACTACTTTTTGTCCTGCCTTCAAGTACTTTGGGGAATAGATTGATCACGTGCTCTCTGTGGCACCTCCTCAAATATTGGAATACTGCTATCATGTCCCCCCTTGTCCTTCTCTTCGTTAAACTAGACATACCCAATTCTAGCAACCGTTCCTTATATATTGTAGCCTCCAGTCCCCTAATCATCTTTGTTGCTCTTCTCTGCACTTTTTCTAGTGTCTCAACATCTTTTTTGTATCATGGTGACCAAAACCAGTATTTCACGTGTAGTCTTATCAAAGCAGTATAAATTGGTACTAACACTTCATGTGATTTTTATACTATTCCTTTGTTGATGCAACCTAAGATTGTATTGGCTTTTTTTTGGCAGCTGCAGCATGCTGCTGGCTCATATTTAAGTGGTTGTCCACTAAGACTCCTAGATTTGGTTTTTCTTGCCTAAGTGTAAAACTTTACTTTTCGCATTTTGTTGGATAGAGTCCAGTTTTCAAGTCTGTCAAGATCTTTCTGAATTTTGAGCCTATCTTCTAAAATGTTGGCTATTCCCTTCAGTTTGATTACAGGCAACTCTGCAACTGTGATAATTTCAAGCCTAACTACCTCATAATTATTCCTGTTAACTATTTCCATAAATTACTATGATTGGAAAGGATTATTATTATTAGATTTTTATCGTATTTTATCCTATTTTTATATTTAAAACTCACATTAACATACTTAACATACTTAATATTCTTGCTTCCTATTTTCTCTCATAACAACCTTGGGAGGTGGGTTGAGAGTGATTGACCATGCCTAAGGGAGGCCTAGAATTCACAGTCTTGAGGTTCCGAGGCCAACACTTTGACTACCAACCAAGCTGGATCTGAAACTTGGAGGACATCAAGTTGACTATCCAGTTCAATGCTAGAATCCAAATGAAAGCTTCCCCAAAAGATGGTAATCTAGTTTCTATTTCAACTCATCCAGGAGAATCTGATCTTTCTGGATGACTAGTACCACTTACACTGCTCTTCTTTTTAACACTCAGTTAGAATTTGCCTGCATGTAATTTCAACACATCATTCCATAAGGGACTTCTTCTCCTTTAGTTGTCTTTTTTTTTCAGAGCTAAACATTCCACTTTCTTCAGTCTCTCCTGTAGGATTTATTTTTCCATTCCCTGAGCACTGTTACCTGCATTCCCTGAAACTAGTCTGAGTTCTTTGAATCTTTTTTTTTAAAATGTGATGCCTAGAAATGCACATAGTATTTGGAATGGATTCTGGAATAAAATAAAATTATGGTTCTCTATTATATAGAAACTATACTTCTGTTAACACAGCCTTGGTCTTTATTCTGTTGA